TCTAAGTATCCATTCTCGCTCGAACTTTCATCTTGTGCTATCTCCCTTCTTATATGTCACCGCCACCGAAGAGCGAGACACTTCATATATCGCATCTTATGTCCGACACATGTCGTATGTCTCTTCACTAATAATTGGCTCCACGGTGGGCGATGCCGCAACCGCTAAGAAGGTCGCGTCTGATGGTCATTAGTAAGCAGATAGATTCAAGTGTTCTTCTACCCCCGAGGTTGTAGGGAAAGTGCAAGGCATAAATTTGAGCAACAACTCGTGGAAATGATACAAGGCGGTTCATCCTTCCCTTAATTTTCCAGTTTTTCTTAAGTATCTATTTCCGCACTCTGGGTGCGTTTTGTCTTCTCTTTCAATACGAGGTAAGACTTCCCAGGCTAGAACGATGTTGAAGTTGAATCCTTTAGCTAATGAATATATTCCTCGAATGCTACCTCTCCTCGTTTCGTTCCCCATATGCCACAAATTGTTTACCAGAATATCGATCTCTCATTGGGGATACTTTATCATAAGATCCAGTAGTATCAGGAATTGTAATAATGAGAATTTATATCTTTGGGACATTCTTTCCATCAGTTGGTAGATCCATGTTATCAATCTGAGCATAACTCTCTTTGTGAAAATCATTGAGTGCCTTCTCTATTTGATTAAGATTTTCTGCACAAAATGGTCTTGAAAGATTTTGGACTGAAAACCATCCATCTACTGACACACATGTCTATCAACCCATGATAGAACCCCTCTAGATCATTAAACCGTGAAATTTTAACACACGTCCAGAAGTCCAACTTTGCAGGATCAACCTTTTTCTTATTGTTCATATTCTATTGCCCAATAGTAGGACAATAGGCGGGTACTCGGCCACTTCCGTGACATTTGATCAAATATCATGGAAGTGGATGGAAACTCACCCTTCGTCCTACTGTTGGGTAATAAATGTGAACAATAAGAAAAAGGTTGATCCTGCAAAGGTGGATTTCTGGACGTGTGTGAACTTTTCGCGGGTTAATGATCCAGAGAGGTTTTGTCATGGGTTGATAGACATGTGTGTCAGTAGAGGGATGGTTTTCGGTCCAAAATCTGTCAAGACCATTTTGTGCAGCAAATGTTAATCAAATAGAGAAGGCACTCAATGATATCCACAAAGAGAGTTATGCTCTGATTGCCAGCATGGATCTACCAACTGATGGAAAGAATGTCGTGAAGCTAAAAGTTCTCATTATTACTCTTCCATATATTACTGGATCTTATGGTAAAGTGTCCCTAATGGGGACACCAAAGTTTTAGTAAACTATATGCTGCATATGGGGAAGGAAATGAGGAGAGATTGCATTCGGGGAATACTTATTAGCTAACGGATTCAGCTTCGACATCATTCATGTCGGGGAAGTCTTACCACGTTTAGAAAGGGAAGAGGTGAAACACCCAGTGTGCGGAAATGGATGCTTGAAAGGGAAGGATGAACCGCCCGATATCGTTTCCACAATCTGTTGTGCAATTTGAAGCCTCTGCACTTTCCCTGCAACCTCGGTAGTGGGAGAAAACTTGAATCTTATCTGCTTACTAATGACCACTAGGGGCACGGCCTTCTTAGCGCCTGCGACGTCTCCCGTTGTGGCACCATACATAGGTGAAGAGATATACAATGTGAGGCAGACATAAGATGCGAACTACGAAGTGTCTCCCTCTTCGATAGTGGTGAAATATAAGAAAGGGACATAGCACAAGATGAAAGTCATTCAAGAATGGACAATTAGACTAGTATGAAGCACATGTGTTTCCATGAAAATAAAATTTTCATTCTTTAGTGCTCCTTGTCGTGATGTAAAAGTTGAGAAACAAAAGGGGAAAAATACATGAAGTAGGGCGAGATATTAACTACATTACTCCTTCTCAAAATCCTCCTCCTCATCGGCCTCATCATTGGAGTTATTATCATCATCATCGGAAAGAGGAGCAAGTTCCTCACCCTAGAAACGATGTCTTCTCACTATTGAACCTGGGCCCACTTACCAGCTCTTTTCAACAAGACCTTGTTGGTGTTATGCTAAGAAAAATTGAATGGGTCGCGACTGATCTTAAACATGATTGGAATCAACGTGACAACCGCATCAAAGTAGCCTTTGTCAAAGGAATCCGTTCTGAGATTCTTGCTGAAGATATCAGCCACGGGGTTCGCCTTCAGAAACTCCACCCCATGGTAAAGCACGTCCTCGAAAATCGCGCCCGCAAAGCCTCGGGAAAACTCTTTGGCGGCTTCCTCAAAATCTGTTCTCGTCTTGTATGCAGCAATTGTCTGGGAGAGATCGACATTTACCATCTGGGCGACCTCTGGGGTGACACCCTGACTGAAGGAGAAGGTGACCTTAGCATGATCGACTACAGCTACCTTCTTGATGCCCAAGCTTAGGGCATCTTGGGACTCCTTGAGGTGGAGGGCAGTCGCTTTGGCCTTCTCTAAGCCTTGGTCGCCACCCAGTTCATCGCTACTAGCTAGCGCCTTTTTAGATTTCCTTTTAGCCTTGAGGGCATCCTAGTCCTGCGCAGCACGAATTAGAAAACATAGAGACCGGCCTATATAGGGGAATGACGGTTAGGGATACAAAGAAATCACGTAGAGATAAAAAGGAGAGCACGAAAGGGGAAATCATACATTATCTAGATGTAGGAAAGAAATATTCCCTCCTCAGCCTATGCGGAAGGACGTGGTTCTAGCTCCAAGATGGCATGTCAGACAAACTTTTCCCACGCTTAAAGGCGGAGTCGGCGAGCTGCATGACCATATGATTCGAGCTAGAGGGGTCGGGATCCTGGGTGCATGTTTGCTTTGGGGGGGGGGGGGGGGGGTCTGCCTAAAGTTCAGGCCGCGCACCGACCACAATATGGAATGGCTAAACTTCTAGAGGGACAGTCGCTCCTGCGGTTCGACGTTCGACTCCAGCTTCCTCAATGGGGGGAGATGGGGGTCGCTCCTTTTTTACTCGAATCTTCTCTCTCTATGCCCCCCTCTTAGCCATGCGCTTCTCGTTGTTCTCCCCCATTCGCTCGATGTCCATTTGAGCTTTAGTTGGTATAGATGGAACTAAACAAATGAATGGTAATTATCAGACTCAGGTATAGTAGTCAGAATCCCAAAGGCTCTAACCTTGGTAAGATGGGACCACCCGAGGATTTGGTGTTTGATTCCTTTGAAAACCAATCCAGAGGTACGAGTGGTACCTATCCCAACTTCGGTCAGCCGCTTGGTGGGTAAGGTAGAACGTGTTGGGGTAGACGCCTTTGCGCCTCATGGCCTTTATTGCTTCCCCTAACTCATTAGTATCACACAGTTCCTCCACCCTCGGAGGGAAGCCATCCCATCTAGTCTTCAACATACCGCTAGGGACCTAAGGAAGAAAAATTGGTGCTTCAAACCATTAATGGAAGACATGGTCATATCAAATAGCTTCCGACTATGCGAGTGTTGACTGTCATTTACATGTCATAATTCTAGGGAGCAAATTTGAAAAAATAGTGGAACGGGTCTAGACTCGAATCTAACATCATCTCCTTACACCACATCTACTCACGATAAGAATTATTTTCTTATATGTAAATTGAATTCCATTGAGAATATATGTGAAATGTACATATATATCAATTTGACTAGTTATATTTTCAAAGTAAGGCCATTTTCAAGTTTTTCTAGAAAGAAAGAGATATTGAAGAGCATTTTTTATATTTTTTAAATTGAAAAACTAGTAAGCTAAAAATGTTTTCAATTTTTTTTTTCTTTTATCCAAGTTTTTGGAAAAAAATGTAATCAGTTTGCGTTTCTTAAATATGGAGGATTAAGGTCATCGATCATTCTGTTTTTTCACTCCCAAACTTTTCACCTAATTTGTCGCAAAAACCTAATTAATGAACGATCGCTAATGATTAATTGTGACAAAAAAAGTGGTCACGTGACCGTCCTTATTGGGCTCACCGCAAATGATATATTGGGACTGGAAAAATTGATCAGTCACAAAAATCTTTTGGGACTGCATATAATACTGTCGCTAAAGATGTTAATAGAACATTTTCTAGAGAATATTACCTGAAATAGGACTAAAAAGGTTTGGAAATTCCAAAATAGGACTGCCATGTTTTTATTCCCAAAATAGGACTAATTATTGTCATGTTTTGACAATATCAGACTTCAAACATGATAGTATTTTCCAAACTTGGCAGTAATTACTCCTATTTTGGGAATAAAAAACATGACAGTCCTATTTTGGAATTTTCAAACTGTTTTAGTCATATTTCAGGAACTTTCCCCATTTTCTAAGACTTATTGCGACTGTTACCCTTTCGCTACATCAAATTTGTGCAAGCCTGAATTATTAATTTTGACAACTTCTTTAGAGTATTTGCAACCAGTTTCCCTTCATTTTTATTTTCAAACTATAAAATAAAAATCTATTTTAGTAAACGTCTTACTATGATGTAAAGTTTAAATATAACTATAGTCACTAATAGTTACTAGGAGTAATATTTTTGTCCAACTATTTATTAGTAATATTTAAGGAAAAATCTCATTTTAGAAGAATTATGCTAAAGTGTTTAAAGAAATAACACATTTCAGGAAAAAAGTTAAATAAACTTATTTGTTGATCCTCATAGGGTTTGATCCTCATAAAGGTGGTGGTGTTGGCATTCTAGACTTCTAGTTTGGTTTTTCGCTCTTCATGTCATCCACCACCAGAATCGATCGATAAATAATAAATAAATAAATAAATTAAATAATAAATAAACAAACAAACAAACAAACAAACAAACAAACAAACAAATAAATAAATAAATAAACAAATAAATAAGCAAGAAATAAATAAATAAATAAATAAGTAAGTAAATAAATAAATAAATTTAAATGAAGTATGCTAAACTGTTTAAGGAAAGAACAGTACATTTCAGGGAAAAACTTGAACAAACAAGGATCAGTGAACAGATTGATCAACTCAACTTACAGGTTCAATTTATAGGGTTTGATCCTGGTAAAGGTGTGGTGTGGGCGCTGTTGTTTGCCATTGCAGCTAGCAATCAAGCTTGATTTTCCCAGGAGCAGATGACCCCGGCCTTTTCCATCCAAACCGCGCCTCCCGATTGCCTTCTTCAGATCCGCATCCATATATAGGCATCCAGCAGGCCGGACTGAGTTCCACACACACACACACACATATATATATATATATATATATATATGCTCTTCTCATCAGGCCGGCCTGACGGGCTGCCCCGTCCGGCCGAGCCCGTTTGGGCACCTTCCCGGTGGAATTTTTTGATGAAATTTTTTGAGCATGTTCCTCATCAAGTCTAGTTTGTCCATACCAAATTTCACCTCAAAATTCGATCGGGAAGGTTGTCAAATTATTTTTGCAAGTTAACTGGTCCGGAAAATACATATTCTGGACCAGTTAACTTGCAAAAATCATTTGACGACCTTCCCGATCGAATTTTGAGCTGAAATTTGGTATGGACAAACTAGACTTGATGAGGAACATGCTCAAAAAATTTCATCAAAAAATTCCACCGGGAAGGTGCCCAAACGGGCTCGGCCGGACGGGGAAGCCCGTCAGGCCGGCCTGATGAGATGATTTCTCTATATATATATATACCGCCATCATATCGCTGCCTGGAATAAGAGAATTTCTCAAAGCGTAGAGTTTCAAATTCTCCTCCCGCCTCCTCTGACTCAATCTATTTGACTCTTCCAGGATGTTGAATTTATTAAAACTTTGTCATATTTCTTTTTTATGATGTTCCAAAAATTTTGACATTTTTCCCGTTTAATCAATTATTTTGTGATTTCTGTTATTCTCCATCTTCTGAACAAACCTTAACCACACAGATTTTATTCTATTATTCTCTATGCCGGTCAAACTTGGCAAAGTTTTAAGGCACAGAGGTAGTATTATGCATGTGATAGAGTATAATGCGGCATTGCTATGACTGTATATCATGTACTCCTAATTCACAAATCATATGGTCTTGCGGGGGTGGGTCGGTGAAACCAAAAACCGAAAATCGAATCGAAAAAACCCAAACCGCAACCAAAACAACCGAACCACAAGAAAATCGAACCGTAAGAAAATCGAAACCGAACTCAAAAAACCGAACCGAATCGAAGATGTTTGGTTTCGGTTTTGGTTTTCACATCTCAAAACCGAACTTTTTAAAACTTGCTATTTTATTTATTAATAATTAAGTATAATATTTTGTACGTTTAGTTCTTAATTCTAGAATATGAATGTTTGATACTAGATTTATTATGATTTGAAAGATATTGAAATTTAATATTCATGGTTCAATTAAGTGAACACTTGTATATATACTTAAGTCTATTGCTATAATACTAATATGTTGATATTTAAATCGTAATTTACATTTTTTTATTTTGGTTTATAGTGCCAAATATCTGTGCCAAATAAGTGCCAAATCCGTGCCAAATCTGTGCCAAAATTGTGTTTTTTTGTAGTGGGTGTCTAAGTGGACATGTCGTGTGTGGGGGATTATGCATGGCTCTCGTGAACAAATGATGTACGGAGTATTATACATGTGAGTGTAAAGCCAAATTGTTATCGGTCTTCTGCATGCGTGATTTGGCTCCGGCCATTTGAATTTGACCCCATTGAATTCATGATCCTTAGCTTGTCAACGATGGTGGAGATTTTGGCCTCCTCAGTCGTTATGCTGATTTTCAACCGATTGGTGGAGGAGTCAGGGAGTGATTTTATGGAATCACATGTGGCTCCATAAGGGAGTCACATATGGTTCCTTACAATTTTTGGGAGTCAGGAGAACATTTGGTTCCTCACTCGGCCGTTGAATTATATTCCACAGGAGTCAGGATCGACCTGCCACGTAATCCGCCTAGAGCTGCTGGTAAGGAATTAGTTCGCAGGCCACCGTATCATGGCTGAGGCGGTGACGACGGTTTTCGCCGACGCCATACGGTGGTAAACGGAGAAAAGACTCCAGAATCCAGATCATTATTTTGATGAGTAATGGGTAAGACATATTTATTTGGTAGTTTCTATGGTACCCATAAGACATATTTATTTGATAGTATATGTACTGTCTACTTTGGATAAGAATTACTTTCTTATTGAGCATATATGTGAAATGTATATATCAATTTGACTAGTTATATATTTTAAATGTAAAGCCATTTTCAAGTTTTTCTAGAAAGAAAGAGATAATGAAGAGCATTTTTATATTTTTCAAATTGAAAATCTATTAAGCTAAAAATGTTTTCAATTTGTTCTTTTGTCTAAGTTTTTGGGAAAAATGTAATCAGTTTGGGTTTCTTAAATATGGAGGATTAAGGTCATCATTCTGTTTTTTCACTCCCGAATTTTTCACCTAATTCGATCGTGCAAATGAGTTGTAATTAAGTAATTTAAAACATAAATAAATGAGAAAATAATAACTTGAACAAATCAAATGCATTACAATACCTTCAATTTTTTATGGGTACCATAGTATTCAGCTTATTTTAAAGGAAAAAGTTCATTAATGTTACTATTTAAAATGTGATAGAACTAAAATATTGCTTATCAACTATTCCTGACTATAATGTTCTTTAAATTTACCACTACAAGAAAATGCTTATTTGCGAAAAGAAAAATGGTCGCAAAAACCTAATTAATTAATGAACGGTCGCTAATGTTTAATTGCGACAAAAAACAAGTGGTCATGGGACCATCCTTATTGGCCTCGCCTCAAATGATATACTGTGATGGAAAAATTGATCAGTCACAAAAAAATTTTGGGACCGCATATAATACCGTCGCTAAAGATATTAATAGAGACCATTTTAATTTCTAAGACTTAATTATTGTGACTGTTTTCTTCTCGCTACATTAAATGTGTACAAGCTTGAATTATTAATCGCGACAACTTCACAGTATTTGCAACATATTTCCCTTCCTTTTTATTTTCAAACAATACAATAAAAATCTATTTTAGTATACGTTTTAGTAATTACATGTAAGTTACTATGATTTAAGGTTAAATATAACTATATAGTCATTAATAGTTACTAAGAGTAATATTTTTGTTCAACTTTTTACTAGTAATATTTAAGGAAAAACTCATTTTAGATGAAGTATGCTAAACTGTTTAAAGAAATGACACATTTCAAGGAAAAAAGTTAAATAAACTTACTGGTTGATCCTCATAGGGTTAATTGTTTGATCCTCATAAAGGTGGTGGTGTGGGCATTCTTGTTTTGTTTTCTCTTCAAAATCCACGCTGCAATCAATGCTATCCACCACTCAGAATCGATCGGTTTTCCATGGCAAGAAGAACGCTCCTTAGCAGTTCAGCTTAGCGTTTGAACTGAGGACATTAGTTTATTTGATTAGAGTTATTGAGGATATTATGAACTTATTAGATAAAATAAGTCTTATTGAATCAAAGAAGATTACATATTTAAAAAAAAATCTCATTAAAAATGTCAAGCAACACATTTATATAAATGAATGAATGACTAAATAAATAAATAAATAAATAAATAAATAAATAAATAAATTTAATAAATAAATAAGTAAATAACTAAATAAGTAAATAAGTAAATAAATAAGTAAGTACTACGTAATTAAATAAGTAAATAAATAAATAAATAAAAATATAAATAAATTTAAATGAAGTATACTAAACTGTTAAAGGAAAGAACAGTACATTTCAGGGAAAAACTTGAATAAACAAGGATCAGTGAACAGATTCATCAACTCAACTTACTGGTTCATATATAGGGTTTGACCACAGCAATCAAGCTTTCTTCAGATAACCCCTTTTCCAAACCCCTTCTTCAGATCGGCATCCATAGCCAGTGTCCAAAAAGTGATCGAGCAGGCCGGACTGAGTTCCACACACACATATACCGCCATCGCTGCCTGGAATAAGATCGAGATCCTCGCCGCTTCTCAAAGCGTAGAGTTTGAGATTCTCCTCCTCTTTGACTCTGTTGGACTCTTCCAGGCTGAAGAGGATCGGAAGTACGTACGAGCATGATCGAAAATGTGAAATAACAAATCATCACGAATCCAGAGGAGGCGGAAAATGATTTCTGCGTGCATGATTGGCCTCGATAGGGCCATTTGAATTTGATCCTTGTCAACGGTGGAGATTTTGGCCTCCTCTTCAGGCGTACCGATTGGTGGAGGAGACGGAGGCCTTCACGGCGGCGTTGAACATTTGGCAGGTTCCTCGGCGCCGGCCAGGCCGTTGAATTCCTCGATGATATGGATGATGAAAAGCATGTGGGATCGGAAGAGATTAATTGAGGCTTTTATATATACACACGGTGATCCAAGCTAGAGATCGAAGACTCGAGATGAGTCACGCTATGCTCCAGTCAGTGCAGGTACACAGGTAATTGTAATAAGAAGAAGGATTATCTGCATATCGAATTTATAGATAGGGCGGATTATCTGCTGACTAGACATGTCGTGTTGGGGCCCGGATATACTTTGAATTATCCATGCATGGCTCTCGTGAACAAATGATGAAATAACTTTGGGTCTACCCTAAGATGGTCTAATTTTACCATTTCGATTCATTTCACTAAAATTACCTCATATCAAATTTGATAAATTTTGTATAATTCTAAATTGTTCTTATTTTATTCATATTTTATCATTTTATATTAATTTATACACCACTTTTTATTAATTTGTAGGGCACCCTCTCTCTTCCCGTTGTTAGTGGAAAGGAGTATTATAATTATATTACGAGCTCCTACTTCACAAATCCCGTGCTCTAGACATACCTTACGTTTTTTTAAACTAAAGCAATGCAACACTTATCGCGTGATTTTGGTCTCATTTGGATCTGATTTTTAGTGACACGGATATCACTTGTAAGTTCTTAATTGAATTACTACGTATGAAAATATGGCATTACAAATTTACAATTGTCAACAATTAACACCTATCATCTTTTATTTGGCCCCAGCCAATTTTTTTGTGATTGAGTTCGCTTTGATTCCTTTAGGCTAGGGCCTATTCATGTCCGAAACTAGAAATCGTTACATAATCTTTAAGGGATAAAGACCAAAAATGACACTAAGGTTTTTAGCGAATCTCAAATTAGACACTAACGTTTTAAGTGGACCAAATAAACACAAAATTACAGTTTTTGGGTTCATTTTGACCACCCTTTACCGCTAACCCCTTCCCCGTTAACCCCCCATCCGATTAAAGCTTGGAACATTGGTTTTACCTTATT